AAACAGCTGCGATGGGAAACTTGTGGGCTCTCCAATTGTTACTGGACTACAACTCCCATCATCCCTGACCATTGGCCACGCTGGGTGGGGCTGATGGGAGTTAGGAGTCTGTCAACAACCGAAGGGCTGCAGGTTCCCCACTCCTGCTCCAGAGGAAAGTGCTCTTTTAGAAACATAAATCCATCGCCACAGAGGCACATGGAGGCGCAGATGTCTGGGTTCACAAAACTAGTCATGCATTTCTAGCTAAATGTTGAGTTCAGAAATGTAAGGTGCTCTTTTCACAACCCACGCAAATGTGGCAAATCTGAAGTTGCAGCAGCAAGGTGCATGTGTTTCTCCACTTCTCCACTCAAGCGATTTCAGAAACAGTTGGCATTTTAAAGCCTTCACCAGGCAGTTGAGAATATTCCAGCAGCAACCTCTTTCTTCTAACCTGCCATACTATCTTAACAGGGGTCTAGCAGAAATGGCTCTTAAGCTTTAAATAGAGCCGGTTGAATTATTCATTGTCAATAAGAAGCTTATGTGAAATAAATTATTCAAAAAAATCATATGTCCCTTGTCCAACTAGCTCTGCTGAAATATAATTTCGGAGGCTTTCACAAAGAGGAGCTGAGAGACACCTCCTAAGAACACAGAGCTTCAGCTATTCATAATCTGTGCCAGAAGAAGTTCAAATTTCATGCCACATAAACATGACTTCTGGTGATGTCTCCTTTTCTGCTTTTTTCTGCTTTTCGTTCTTTCCTTCTTTTCAACCAAATGCAAACTGAAGGCAAAGCATGATCGTTAACATTCCACTTGTATTGACACACTACTAGCGATAGGCAAACCCTTCACCTTCATTTGCAATTGCCTCCGTATCTGTTAGCTTTCTCAGATAACTCTTTGAAATGAAATAAAAAGGCCCAATACTTTTCAAAATATTCTTCTCTAGTTTCTAACATGGCCCTATAAGACAATCGAAGCCCTAGAAGGAGTAAACCCTACACAATTCGAGAGTGGAGTCCCTAAGATGGTTGGATGACATTTTGTATGCCTCCTTTTGGCAACTCCTGCAGCCAAGCTGGTGCAAAATGTTTTGGTCTGGTTTCCTTTGGACCACATCAGCGAGGCCAAGAAGGGAGTCTTGTCGCCTAGGCGGCCCAGGACCTCCATACACACTGCCCAGGCTTGCACCCTGGCGAGTGTTGCTAATGCAGTGATTTGACTTTACCCCCAGAGGCACACACCACTGTCTCTCAAGACAGATGGATGCCAACACCTGAGAATAGACCCAATTAAATTAATGAACCTAAGTTAGTCATGAAAGGGACGCGGGTGGCGCTGTGGGTCAAACCACAGAACCTAGGACTTGCCGATCAGAAGGTTGGCGGTTTGAATCCCCACGACGGGGTGAGCTCCCGTTGCTCAGTCCCTGCTCCTGCCAACCTAGCAGTTTGAAAGCACGTCAAAGTGCAAGTAGATAAATAGGTACCACTCTGGCAGGAAGGTAAACAGTGTTTCCGTGCACTGCTCTGGTTCGCCAGAAGCGGCTTAGTCATGCTGGCTATATCACCCAGAAGCTGTACGCCGGCTCCCTCGGCCAATAAAGTGAGATGAGCGCTGCAACCCCGGAGTCGGCCACGACTGGACCTAATGGTCAGGGGTCCCTTCACCTTTACCTAGTCATGAAAAGAGCCTGCTGGATCAGGCCAATGGCCCATCTAGTCCAGCATCCTGTCTCAAAGGGCCCATCCAGATGCCTGTGGGAAACCTATAAGCAGTCATGTCTAATAGCCATGCCTATTCACTTAAGTGGGTCTGCTCTGAGAAGGGCTAGCATTGAATGCCACCCATTGGGTTGTTTCCCACTGAAAATCATGAGTATGACTAACTTGGTTCCATTAATTTCAATGGGTCTATTCTGAGTAGAACTTAGCTGGAGACAACCCTCTGATGGGGCCATATGCATGCAACATCTTTGGCCATATCTCTGCATCTTATCTACTGGTCCTCTAGAACTGCCTGTTCCCATGTGAACATGAGAACCTAGGAAATGCCTTATACCTAGTCAGATCATTGGTCCATCTAGCTCAGTTTTGTTGACGCTGATGAGCAGAGCTTAGGACATCTCTGCCTGGATTTGCCAGGGATTGAAGCTGGGACCTTCTGCAAGCAAAGCAGGTGCTCTGCTACCAAGGCTACAGCCCTCCTTTTTGTGTAGAGTTGGGGAAAATGATAAAGTAAAAACCATCCCTGCTGTTCCATTTTTCACCCCAGCCTGTGCCAACACCAAGCCCTACCTGGTGCATATATTTGATATATTGTGTGGTACCCACAAAGTAGCTGGACAGCTGGGCTCCACAGTTACCATCCACTCACTCAACATCCAAAAAAACAAAGTGCTGCACCAACAAGTACAAAATAACCCCTCTGCAGCACCACGAATCCAACTCAATGGTATAACACTGGAAAATGTTGATCACTTCTCCTACCTGGGCAGTTATCTTTCCACAAGGGCCAGCATTGATTACAAAATCCAGCATCACCTGAGCTCTGCAAGTGCAGCTTTCTCCCGATTGAAGTGCAGGGTGTTTGAGGACCAGGACATTCGCAGGGAAACCAAAATGCTTGTTTACAAAGCTATTGTACTACCAACCTTACTGTATGCTTGTGAAACATGGACCACTTATAAACGCCATCTCCAACTCCTCAAAAGATTCCATCAACGGTGTCTCCAAAAAAAACTTACACATCACTTGGGAAGACAGGCGAACTAATACCAGTGTACTGGAAGAAGCAAAGATCACCAGTGTTGAAGCAATGATTCTTCAACATCAGCTTCGTTGGACTGGTCATGTTGTGTGGATGCCTGATTATTGTCTTCCAAAGCAACCACTCTATTCCGGACTTTAAAATGGAAAGCATAATGCTGGTGGTCAATAGAAGAGGTTTAAAGACTCTCTCAAGGCAAATCTTTTAAAAAATGTAGTATAAACACCAACAATTGAGAAACACTTGCCTGCAAGCGCTCCAATTGGAGAACAGCCTTTACCAAAGGTGTTGTGGGCTTTGAAGACACTCAAGCTCAGGACACAAGGGAGAAATGTGCTAAGAGGAAGGCACACGTGGCAAATCCACAGCATGATCAACTCCTGCCCAGAAACCAATGTCCCCGCTGTGGAAGGACATATGGATCCAGAATTGGTCTCCACAGTCACTTACAGACTCATTGTTAAAACCGTCTTTATGGAAGACAATCTTACTTGGCTACAAGTGATCGCGAAAGAAGAAAGAAAGAAAGAAAGAAAGAAAGAAAGAAAGAAAGAAAGAAAGAAAGAAAGAAAGAAAGAAAGTTACCATCCAGACCAGAAGTTAATACTGTTTATTCTAAGCAAGATTTAGACCTTGGACTACTAAATGCAATTTACATATGGAAGGTGGAAGCAATGGGCAATGGTTGTGTTTATGAGCAACCATGCTTTACTAAGGTCTGACAGTGTGGGAAGAAGGATGAGGTACTGCATTTGCTGGAGTTCAGCACCATGGTCAGCTCCTTCCCAGTGAGATTACTCTGGTAGCCTGATTAAGTGGACTCTACAGTCTAGCCTGTGAAAGCTTCTGCTGCTATAAATCTGTTGGCCTTTGAAGCACCACACCACACTCAGAGCAGTGCATGTGATCCTCCCTTCCAACCAGATGCTGTCGGACCACAACTCCCATCAAACCTGACCACTGGCGATGCTTGCTGGGGCTGATGGGAGTTGCAGTCCAATGACATTGGGAGGGTGCTAGGTTGGCAAAGGCTGGCCTAAGCCCTACACCAAGGTGGGCTTCTGCATATAAACATTGACAAAGCTATCATTTGGAATTCTCTTTTATATTTCTACAGATACAGCTGTATAATGGTGTGGGTGTGTGGGTGGTGTGGGTGTGGGGTGTGGGTGTGGGAGAGAGAGAGAGGGGGGGGGAGGTATGGGGAAGTCCGGGAAGTAAGGTGCATGAAAATAAGATTATGAAATTATACATGTTTACATGTTTGTATGTCTTTGTTTTGTGTATTGTTTGTTTTTATTATGTGTTTGGAAAATTAATAAAAATTTATTTAAAAAAAAATAAAAAAGAGAGAGAGAGAGAATGGTTGCTTATGATGTAAGCTTTCATGTCCCAGAGCTTTCTCCATTTCTGTGCAACTCAAAATCTTACCTTTTCCTGGGCACATTGTGCCCAGTAAACATTAAAATAAAAGTGGGGCACTTAAAAGCCAACATATTGTATCTTGCTTCTTAGTTTCAGGCTTGGGCGCCAAACCAACTTTTTTGGCAAAATGGAAAGCTCAGTTGGTTAGAGCGTGGTGCTAATAACACCAAGGCTGCAGGTTTGATCCCTGCATATTCCTGCATTGCAGGGGGTTGGACTAGATGATCCTCAGGGTCCCTTCCAACTCTATGATTCCACGATTCTATGAAACTCAGCTTAAAGCATCTCAGTTTGGCTGCGTCTTTGGACCCAGTGACAAAGTACAAGTCACCTTTGCTTGGAACTTGACCATTTCAAACAGAGGTGCCAACTTGAATAAAATATGGGGGAGGCAGGTAAGCCCCACCCTGCATAATCGATCACAAGATGCAGCGTGCACACACCATTTGAATGGCAATGTTCATCAACATTGGGGGTGCCCCCCAAATATTTTATTGGGGGGCCAGTGGGACCTTAGCCCCTAGGAGTAGGCTCCTATGATTTCAGGTAACTCATATATAAGCAGCTGTAGCCCTGCTTTGTGCGAGAACAGCCTGCCTGGCCGAAGGTGGAACCTCCATGTAGAGGAACAGCATATCTCTGAATGTCAGCCGCCGGGAAGCCAGCAAATGATCTTAGGCTATTGCCTTCAATTCCTGCCTGTGAGCTTCCTCTAAGTACCCGATTGGCGGATTGGGTGCTCCGCTTCCTGCTCTGGGATCTCAGAGAGCTGCAGGGAAAAGCAAGGAGGGGGGAAAGAAGAGGAGGAGGAGGAGGTCTGGCTTAAAATAGATGTCTCCGCCTCTGTTCCCCAGGTGGGTCTCTGCCACCACCACCCCAGTCTCCATCCACTCTCCCCTGGCTCTGTGCTGAATCAGCAGCCTCCAATGCCATGGCCGAGTCCCCAGGGGGAGGCACAGAGAGGTGATTTCATCGGCTGGATGTTGTCAAGTGGAGCCATCCTCCTCTTCCCTCCTCCTCCTCCTCCTCTCCCTGCTGCTCCTGCTGCTGTACAAGCCAACCCAGACTGATCTCACCAGTTCCGGTCACGTTATTCTGTGTTTACGCCTTCGCTCGCTCCCTCGCTCGCCTCTGCTTCTCCTCTAACCTGCCAGGGCCTGCTGCAAACCACCTCCGGCGCCCACCATTTCCATCACCATCACCTCCCCAGCTTTGCCAAGAGGGCGCAAGAGGAGGAGGAAGAGGACGGGGACCGGGGAGACGGGGAGAAGCAACCGAGAGAGCCACCATGGAGTCCGCAACTTTGGGACGGGTGCCCTTGTGTGTCCACTGCGCCAGGAGGCTTTGAAGGAGATCCAGGAGGAAGAGGAGGAGAAAACCCAGCAAGGGGGCGCCAGGGGTGGCGGGAGGGGATCTTCCCCCTCCATTCCCTCCCGCCTCCCTCCTTAATACCTCCCCACCTCACCCCCCGCCACCCGCCGGGTGTTTGTGGCTGACACGGAGGAGGGGAGCGTTTGGATAACCCTCCAGGGGGGAGGAGAATCCAACCTGTTCGCCCTTCCTTGCCTTGGCATCTCCTTCCATTGATGACACCGAGTCGTGGCCACCAGTTCCTGCTGTCGCCTCCTCGTTTTGCCCAGGTAAGGAAAGCGAGGCGGCGGGAAGCGGGGGAGAGAGAGAAAGATCTGCATATTGAGATCTGTTTTGGAGGAGAGAGAGAGAGAGAGAGAGAGAGAGAGAGAGAGAGAGAGAGAGATTGAGACACAGAGAGAGAGGATTTTCCTAGGAAACCTGAATACAGAGCAGCTGCCGCTTTCTGGAGATGGTGATCCCACTGGCTCCCTGCTAAATAATAGAAGTTTGTGGGTTGGCTGGTTGTTGTTTTTTAAAAAGGTCAGGGAACAGAGCTGCTTTGCAGTCCTAGAAGAAGAGAGGTGGAAGGGGGTTCCCTAGAGGTCATTTAGTCCAACCCCCTGCTGGTGCCTGGAATCCATGGCACAGTCTCAACTTATCCACCTCTGGTTAATTTCAGGGTCAGTATAGGTCAGTGTTTAGAGCATGCAGAAGAGCGTCCAGAGTTCAGTCTCTGGCATTTCCCCATAGGTCTGGGAATAGCCGCTACCTGAAACCATGGAGAGAGGCTGCCAGGCAATGTTGGCAATCCTGAGCTGAATGGACCAATAATCTGGCTTGGTATAAGACACTTCCTCTGTTCCTAAATTCAACAAAGGTAGGTGATGAGTTTCGGGGCAGCAGAGATGGGGACTCCTCAGGCTTGGAAGGTGCCTTTTTAAGCCCAGATTGGAGTGGGTGGGAGGGATCAGAAAAAGCACTCTGCTTATGCTCAAAGGCAGTTGCCCTAGGCAGAAACAAGAGAGCAGCAATTCAATTTTCCTTAGCGCAAACACCAGAGTGTTCTCCTCTCCAGCTGCAAAGAAGAATAAAAGAGTTGGCGCCCAAGATCTTTGAACTTTTTTTTAAAAAAAAAAGAAAGCAGATAAAGCGGTGACTCAGAGGTCAAATACCCAGTGAAAGCTGGTCCATTTGGGCAAAGGGGGCTTTGCCCCACCAACCTGAGTGTCTTCCCTCAGCCAGCCCCCACCTGCCTGCCTGCTTACTTACTCTCAGCCCAGGGGGTGGCACTGCCTGTCAGCTTCTTCGTCCCCCTCGAAGTGTTGCCTTCATACCACTTGAGCACTCAGTCTGGTCGTTCTGCTCTTCTGACCTGCAATGATGGGTGGAGGTTCAGCTAGAAGACCTCCCAAGGTCCTTTCCAACTCTATGAGTTGGGCAAACATCTGGAGAAGAGGTCATAACCACAGGGAAGAGCCATAGGTCAAGGGTTCAGCATCTTCTGTGCGTGCAGAAGGTCCCAGCTTCTGTCCAGGTAGGGCAGGGAATATCTCCTGCCTGAAACCATGGAAAGCCAGTCTGGGAATTTATTTATTTGTTGCCTGTATTTATACCCCACCTTCCTCTCCAAAGAGCTCAAAGTGGGATGCATGGCTCTCTTCCTCCCCCCTTTATCCAAACAACAAGCCCTGCGAGTAGAGCTTAGGCTGGGAGATGGTGACTGACCCAAGGTCACCCAGGGAGTTTCATGGCTGAGTGGGGATTTGAACCCTGGTCTCCCAGCTTCTAGTCCAACACTCTAACCACTACACCACACAGGCTGCAGACAATACTGAGCTGATGATCCCACTCAGCTTCTTATGTCCAGTTGGGTCGCTTCTGGGTGGGCAACCTGTTTCTTAGGGCTCAGTGGGTAGATTGTGCTCTAGACTGCTGTGTATTCACAGGAAGAGGGGTTACGTTTTGCCTCTGACAATGTGGGCTGTGACCCCACACATACCAGTGATGCCACCATCAACCTCTTCCTTTTAAAAGTTTCGTCAGACTCAACGGCTGGACTTTGCTGCGACACACAAACCGAGGCTTCCTCTCTGGAGTTTGTCTGTCTAGTAAAAACGCCACCGGGAGCGATGTCTCTTGAGTTGGAAGATACCAAGGAAAACTGCATTGCCCAGGAACTGGAAACACTTCCCATATAAGGGAGCGGCTTGATATACCAAGTCAGATCATTGGTCCACGCAGACCAATAGCCGCCTCTGCTCTGGCAGGCAGCTCAGCCTGCCTGTGTAATCCTAAAACAACCAAAAGTCCTGAGAAGATGAATCTCCAGAGCAAAAGTTGTGCTTCTGCGGTACAGCTGTGGAATTGCAGATCTGTCCTATGGTAAGGGTTGTAGCTCAATGGAAGAGCATCTGCTTTGCATCCAGACAGTTCCAGGTTCAATCTCCTGCCATCTCCAGGTAGGGTTCCTACTGGGGGTCAAGGGAACCCTGTCTGAAACTCTGGAGGTCCACTGCCAGTCAGTGTAGACAATATAGGGCTAGCTGGGCCAGTGGTCTGACTCAATGTATGGCAACTTCCTATGCACTTTGTTTCCTCTTTTCCACAGTCACTTTCCCTCTGACCCACACGCCTTTCTTCTCATGAAAGGGTCCCCCTTCTTTCCTATGAACCTGGTTGAAATACTATAACCTGGAATCCCTTGTTTGGTTCCCAAGTGCCCATTGGGACTGATAGGGCAGAAGGCAGGGAGCCGAACAGTAGGTGGCGCCAGAGGCAATGACAGCCAGAGCAAACGGCTTCTAGTTTGGGCCCCATCCTCCTCCCTGCTGAGTTCTGCAGGGGCAACAGAGCAGAAAGCTGACAGGCAGGGCCACCTTCTGAACTGGTTGCATGTGAGAAGGCAGGCAAGTAGGGAATGGCTGAAGGCAGACTGAGGCTGGTGGGCAGTACCCTGGTTGACCTTACGGACAAGCCTTGACTGGTTGGAGGTTAGATGGGCAGATCAAGAGCAGAACCTCCCCGTTCCAATACTAATACTAATAATAAACATTCTTGCTAGAGATGTTTACTTGGCACGTCCCTTGATATTAGTTAAGTACCTAGAGAACATCACTGTATTCTCTTGGGTATACGGTCTCAATGCTCCTTAATGCATTTGTACCTACTTTGCAATTGCCTTCTTGTATTTCAAGATTTTAGGTCTGCGGTTATACAGAAACCCACAAGGGAAAAGCACCTGAGTTTGTTCATTTATTATTTAGTTTATAAATCTTTCCTTTAAAAACAGTAAGCCGCTTTTAATAGCAGCAGCGGAAAAGCAAGATCGCAATGTCTGAAGGGTGCAGTTCAAGAAAAACGTAACCAACTCCCATTGTACTCAATGGGGCTTACTTCTGAGTAGGCATATAACATTCCACTGCTCCCTCTCTTATGAATTGGTGTCCTTTATGAGGTTCCCAGTATGGATCTTTTCCTGGGGAGAGATAAGACATTATTCTGCATCATTGATTTATTTTATTTGCATTAGGAGCACAGACAGAGAAATATCTGCCAGAGGTTGGTTGGTTGTTATCTTGAAATAGTTCAGAGGCTCAGTGATAAAGCATATGTGAAAGCAAAAGGTCTTGAGATCAATCCCCAGGTAAGGTTGGGGAAGACTTCCTGCCTGGAACCCTGGAGAGATGCTGTCAGTCAGTGCCAACATTACTGATCTAAATGGACCGCTAGTTTGACTCTGTATAAGGCAGCTAGCTCTCTGTGTTTCTGCGCTCCTGGGCCATCTTTTAGGCTGGTGGCTGACAACTTTAAAAAACCACATAAAACTACATAATCATATTCTAATAAAAATCTAGTCATTTGAAATAGGTGTTTTAAAAGTTTCACGTGGCAGCAGGGCACTCGTGTAACATTAATTGAAACAGTGAAATGCTTTAACACCAGCAACACTATCATTAAATTGTTTCTAGATTCAGACCAGTATCTCAGCTGGAAACCAAAAGAGATAGATTTTTAAGGCCTGTTTGAAAACCCTTGTTGATGGGGCCAAATGTATCTCTCTTGGGAAGGGGTTCCACAAACATGGAGCCACCACCAAAGTAGCCCTGTGTCTCACGCCCTCCAATCCCAAGGATTTTAAATGTGGGTTTGTAAGCAAGCCCATCAGAAGTCAAACTCCAAGGCCGGTTCAGATATGATACCATGACTATATAAATAAATTCAGCTAAGTGCCTAGCAGAAGGAGTTGCATAAATAGGCTTTGAAGCCACTTTGCAATTCTGTGAGGGCATATCTAGGTGTAAGCCAGCTGAAAATGGGACTTGCTTCAACAGAATCTGAGCCGATGGCAGTTCCCTGTCAATCACTTAACCTACAATTCTGTGAATAATCTTGATTTCTCATTCAGTGTCTAATTAAACACCATATTTGGGATTTTTTTTAAGAGCTGTTTTATTTTATTTTTTTTGCATTTATAAACCACCTTTATCTTCTAAGGAGCACAAGGTGGTCACATGGTTCGCCTCCTCCCCATTCCATCCTCAGAGCAACCCTGCGAGGTAGGCTAGGCTAAGGGATGGTGACTGGCCCAAGGTCACCCAGTGAACTTCATGGCTGAATTGGGATTCAAACCTTGGTCTCCCAGGTCATAGTTTTCAGCTGGCAGAGCGTGAGACTGTTAATCTCAAGGTTGTGGGTTCGAGACCCATGTTGGGGCAAAAAATTCCTGCGTCACAGGGGGTTGGACTAGATGACCCTGTGGCCCCTTCCAACCCTACGACTGTTCTGTGCAAGAACAGCAGCCTGTTTGATTTGTTTTTATTCAAACAGGTGGAATGTTCAAATATATTCAAATATATCAATTGCTTGATTTGTTTAAAGCCATCAACCTGCAGAAATCGTTTGAGACAGGGTAGCAGGAGAGAAGAAGAAGCTCCCTCTTCCCGCCGCAAGCCACTATTGCCATGAGGGCAACTCATGAATCCACGTCTAATTCCCTCTAGGCTCTGACGGTTGACAACTGTGTTGCGATGGAGACCCTGTCCCTGGAGCACCATATCCAAAGTGTGCAAAGACACATCGCCTTCTTGAAGAAGGAGCAGATGGAACTCCTCCACGATTTGCACCTGGAGATCCTCCACTTACAGAAGCACTGCACAGGTGAGCTGAGCGGGTTGTGGGGCAGGGAACCAGGTGGCCCTCCAAGTCTCGTGAAGCTCCCTGACCACTAGGCATGCAGGTTGGGTCTGGCGAGAGTTGTGGGCTTCCAGAAGGTATGGGTGTCCTGTCTCTCACTGGAGGGAGATCTTGAACTCCAACCTCTGCATACTATCCTTTGCTTTTTCCTGTAGGACTAATTGCAGTCGTTAACAGTCATCAACAGGTTTACGGTACCCATTGAGTCAATCACTCATCTCCTACCACCCTTCTGAGAAAACTCCCACCCCACCATCCCACTATATATATAGGTCTGGTGACTTCTGTTTCAGTGTATCTGAAGAAGCGTGCATGCACACGAAAGCTTATACCTAGAACAAACTTAATTGGTCTCTAAGATGCTACTGGACAATTTTTTAATTTTTTAATTTATTTCCAATGCCTGCTTCTGCCCAAATCGTTCAGACTTTATTCACTATGGTGCATCGGCAAGACAAAGGTCCAAAGGCACTACAGGTGAATTGCATGGCTTAAGGGGCAAGCTAAGAAATGGATGCAACCAGCAACATGCCAGCTGCACCTTCCTTTAGAACAGGCCAGGTACAGTCTGTTTGCACAGCAAGCAAGAAGAGTCTCGGGACTGGACAAGGCACCGCTCAGAAGGCTCATCCACAACTTCCACTTGTCCCACCACTTTCCCCTGAGAAAAACCTGCATTTTGCCATTGAATTGGAGCAAAAGTCAAAACAGGTTTTCTGCGAGTTGATGTGTGCTCCAGTTCAGTGGTAAGGAGTGGGTTTTCCCAGGGAAAGTGTGGGTCAAACATAGAACCTCTCAGGGCAAGCAGAAGTGTGTACAAGCCCTGAGTTGGTTGATGTTCACACTGGAATTTCCAGGATCTAGGAAGGGGAGTCAATGCCAGCTCAGCATCCAACTTGTCTCTTCCAAGGGGGAAACCTTACTATTAGAGGAGGCTCTGGATGGAACTGGCTAGGGTGGTAACACAGGGGAAAGGTCTTTCCCTGACAACGGGCTTAAACCATCTCCTGAACTGCAGCTCCTTGCATTCCTTCCCACCCAGTGGCATAGCATGGGGTGGTTGCCCGAGTCCCAAAAAAATTAGGGACACAAAATTTCAACACCTGGTGCTGCTTCAATACAGTTGCTAGCTTATGTCACTGGGCTCTGTTGAAAATGACTTCTTCATGCAAACCAGGAAGTGGCCTCTCCAGACAATGGAACGACTCTTCTTTTCCTATCTCTACGGCTGCGATCTCCTGGGTGATGCAGATACCACTAGGCAGTTGAATGCTATGTGTACTCTGTCCCTTTCCCTCCTTCCCATCCGCTCCTTATGGCCCCGGGCTCTGACAACCCATGCTATGCCACTGTGCCCACCAACTCACTCTCTGGCTCCAAAGTTTCTTGGGGCTCCAGCATTGCTTTTTGGACTCCACTGGGACCATCCCTGGTGTCATCTGGTTCTAACTCTCCAGGCTCCTCCCATCCCCCCTCCTGATCTGACCGTTCCCTCCACGCCACCTCCAAGGGACTTCAGCTCCCATCAGGACCAGCCAGCATGGCCAGCGGTCAGAGGCAATGGGATTTGGACTCCAACAACATCTGGAGGGAGCACTGGATCCCCATCCCTGACGAAGAGCATCAGTATGTACACACAGCCAGAAGTTTATGGTCGTAGACCCAACAGCTTCTGAGAAAGACCTTTAAGAGTCAGACGGCAATTGAACACATTGGTGTTGGGAGATTGTGTAATCTGCTGCCTGGAAAGGTTTCAAGGATGCCAGAGCAAGGCCACATTCACACCCTATACCTAAAGCACTATGGCACCACTTTAACCAGCCATGACTTCCCCCAAAGAATTCTGGGAGCTGTAGTTTGGTGCTGGGAGTTGTTAGGAGAACCCCTATTCCTCTCCCAGAGCTACAGTTCCCAGAATGGTCTAACAGTCAATCCCTCTTCTGAGTTTTGTAGCTCTGTAAGGAAAACAGGGGTCTCCTAGCAAATCTCAGCCTCCTTATCTGCTCCTAGAATCATTTGGGTGAAGCCATGACAGATCAGAGTGACACCACGGTGCTTTAAATGTATGGTGCAAATGTGGCTTACGTTAGTAATCAGTTCTCTAATTGGTTTCCATCTGGGAATACACGTTGAATGAAAGAGAGAGGTTTTTCTACCACACTCTCTCTCTGTCTGTCTTTTAGGAAACGCAGTTGGAATTGTAATTAGGATGGTTGGGCTAAATTTGATTTCAATGCAATCCAGTTTAAGACGTTCCTTTCTGTTAGGGCGGACGACTAAACAGTGTTTTGAGTTACAATAGACAAAAGCCTGGGGGCGGGAAGGGGAACATATGAGTGTGAGCATTTTGTTAATCCAGCAGTCCTTTGCCTGATCCAAGATTGTGGGAGGGAGCCACTGTGGGGGAGGGGCAAAGTACATTGTGTGTTACAAAGCCATCATTAAACCCCCTGTGTCTCCTCCTCTTCAAAGAGGATTAATTTCAGCCCTCTGCCATGTGCATCAGTGTTAAGTGATCTCATTTGTACCGGTTTTGGCGCATGGGTGGGGGACGGGCGGGCAGCTGCGCATCCAGCCAGCTTGCAGAAGTCTCTTCTGAAGAGACAAAGGAAGCTGTGGATCCAGTATTTAGATTCCTCGGTTGCTGCTCAAGTTCCAGAAGTGTAATCCGAAAGGATATTCCAGAAGCAAAAGGTTGCCAACAGAGAATGAGAAGATTAACTTGGCTTTGGGTTAAGTCATTCTTCCTTGCGCTTGACCCAGAAAGTGCAGCTGGCGCAGAATGCTGCAGCCAGGTTGCTGACAGGTGTGAAGCCCCAGTCAGCATATATAACACCTGTTCTCAGAGATCTGCACCGGCGGCCCATTTGCTACTGGGTCAAGTTTAAGGTGTTAGAATATAAAGCTTTAACAAGCTTGGGACCAGTTTACATGCAGGGTCACCTTAGCCAATATATGCCCACTTAACCTTCTTCCATCCGTGGAACTGGCACAATGACGGGTTCCCCATGATATTTGTTCTGCAACTGTAAGAGAATCAATCTTTTAGTAGGTGGCACTGTAGGTTAAACCACAGAGCCTAGGACTTGCCGATCAGAAGGTCAGCGGTTCGAATCCCTGCAATGGGGTGAGCTCCTGTTGCTCGGTCCCTGCTCCTGCCAACCTAGCAGTTCAAAAACACGTCAAAGTGCAAGTAGATAAATAGGTACCACTCCGGCGGGAAGGTAAACAGCATTTCCATGCACTGCTCTGGTTCACCAGAAGCGGCTTAGTCATGCTGGCCACATGACTGTACGCTGGCTTCCTTGGCCAATAAAGCAAGATGAGCGCCGCAACCCCAGAGTCAGTCACGACTGGACCTAATGGTCAGGGGTCCCTTTACCTTTACCTTTACACTTTGAAACTCCCTGTGTATTGAACTCACTCAATTTCAATAGAAGGATGAGAGGGGCAGGGCCTCGTGAACACCAGAGAAGACTTCTGTCCCATGGGCACCATATTAGCAAATCATGATCTTGGCGTGCTCTTGAGGTAGAAACATATTTATGGTTGATTTCTCTACAACCTGCTGGATAACAGTGTATGTATGACTTCCATTGGAGCTCTCCAAGGTCCTGAAGAGGCTTAACCTGCTTACTACAGTACTTAGAACTGCTGCTCTAGATAGTAGGCAGGGTGAGCCACTTCAGGACTTAGGAGAGCTCCTAGGGAGGACATATATTACTGTCCAGCGGTAGGTAGCTTCAGGTCCTAGGAGACCTCCCAAGGAAAGGTGGGTGATGTTGCTTCAGCAGTTTTTGGCTGAGCCACAGGTAGGCATTTGCTCTCTTGTTAGTGGTAAAGGAATCTTGGGGGTGATTTAGTGAAGGAAAACAACTAAGCCTGGAAGACTTAAGCATACACTTACTCCTCACTGCTCAAAATTGTAACCTTCAATCAGAGCTTTGTTACGTATTGTATAGGAGAAGGACTAAGCCAAAACAGGAGTGGATGCTTCCCCTCCGCCATCCTTTCTCCTCTGCTCCAGTTTCATTAGAAAACCTTCAATTTACTTGCTCCCACCCACCCCCTAAAAAGAGGCAAGAGATGTATCACTTTGACTACACTTCAAAATAAAGTCGCTCTGTTTTCCCCTTACTTCAGGAGTCTTTCCCACATGCATTTTCTTTTTATGGAACCGCCAAATGAAATATTTGTTTTCCAGTGACACAATCGTACCAACAAAGCAGGCTCGTATCTGAACTTGCTTAATGCCTTCCTTCTGCCTCAAATGCATTAACCTGTTAGGATGGGGGTTGGATTAGTGACCCACGGTTACAGCAAATGTGCTACCCCCAAGTCAGCCCACTTGCTTCTGCTTGCCCTTGCTGCTGTGGAAGTTGTGCATGGTCTTTTAGGTGCAGGAAACGGACAGGCAGCTCCCATGGCAGCATGGAGATCAGCTAGGGGATCCTGCTTGTCCATCCTCTTCCACTGAGGAGACCCGCCCCCCCAGGTTCAAAAGCTAGGCAAGGCTGTAAACCTAATAGCTGATTCTACATCAGGGGTGGGAACCCATTTTTTTAAGCCGGATGGCCACATCTCGTTTCCGGCATCCTTCTGGGCCCACATGCCAGTGGTGGGCAAGACCAGGAGCAAATGTGGGTGGAGCCGCATATGCTAATTTACTCAGACAACACCCTCTGTCCTCTACCCATTATCAGAATGCAAGGACGCATCGTAGTGAAGCAAAAGGTGAGGTGTAGGGTCTTTGGAGAAGGGGTGCAGCTATAAAACTTATAGCACATCTGCAAAGCTAAGCAGGATCCGGTATGGTTTCAAATTGGGTGGGGGACTGTGTGTTGAGATTGCAGGGGGTTGGACTAGATGACCCTAGAGATCCCTTCCAGTTCTACAATTCTATAGTTCTATGGTATGGCTGGGGAGGGCAGCTTAGGGAGGACCACCCCACCCCCCACCCCCGT